CAATGTGCTCAATTATTTTGCTATTGTTTTGTCATCATAAAAAAGGGGGAGTATGTGAGGGTGAGGTATGATGTCAAAACATATCTAGTTAGAAATATGTGCTTTGGATGGTATCATTGAGTTGCATATGCATTCGTTGTTTTTCTCATGTCAAGCATTTATCAAAAACATGTGTCTGTTCATATAGAAAAGCATTATATGTGTTCTATGTGAGTTTGATCATGTTGGTTGACTTAGATGTGCATTAGAAGTAATTAAAAATAGCAAGACATATCAAAACCAGCATTTTTGCAAGTTCTGAGTCTTTGAGTTGATTCAAAGCTTGCTTAGGCCGACTCATACAAAGTGAACTTTTTTGATTTGCTCCTAGGAGAGCTCGCGTTGACCCTCCGTTCGACTCATACTTTGTGTATTTCTATTTGTCAATATTGGGTTGCTTTGCATCGACGCATGAACTTGTTCCAGTTGATGCAAAGAGTTTTTTTTGCATAATTCTGTATTCGGGAGAGCTCAAGTCGACCCCTTATTCTTTAGGTCGACCGTTCGCTTGTTTCACACTATTTTTCTGTAATGTTTGTCTTTTAAAGTGTCTGTTATGTTGGTTATTTGGTCAAAGCTTTGCATATATATTGTGTTAGCTCATTCTTCACAAAACAACAAGAAAAGTTAAAATATACACTGATTCTGCTTTCATCATCTTCATCCTCTTTCTTGCATTTTCTCAACAAATACACATAATCATTTTTGTTGTGCATTCTGCATCATTGGAGTGATAACGTCCAAACATATAATCAGTGTATCGGGTTTGATTTGAGAGATCAGTGGGTTTTTCTTGAATAAAACTGTTATGGTTTTATCCTTCAAGAATCTTGGATTTTGGGGGTTTTGCACAAATCGTTCCTTCACAGATTCAGCCGATCGAAGGTAATTAAAGAACGAGAGGTTTTGTCAATTTAGTAGCGTTAACCGGAGGATTGTGGAAGGAAGGTTTGGGTTCGAATTGTAGGTGTTTAAAATCAGTCGGGCAAAGAATTGAAGACCATTGGGTTGTTTAAAGATGGTGCCACAATCAGAGGATTACTCATCACATTTGAAGGACTTGATTCGTCTTGAATCAAGGGAAGAGAAGGCATAGGTTCAACATCAACGGTTAGGATTGAGTGTTTGATTTCTACTGCTTCTCTTATAAAAAAAATTTGTAATAAGTTCTATATACAGGTCTCAATTCTATTTTTAGAATTGAGGGCAGACGTACCTCGAGCGAAGACGACAGGGGAACTGCCTCAACAAATTGGTGTTGTTCTCTCTTTTTGCTATTTTCATTTCTGAATTTTACGTTTGTATGCAATCAAATTGATTGACTAAAATTCTGGTTTATTGTAGTGCTAAAACACATTTAGAAAACTTATTACAATCTGTTTGGTTGTAATCGAAAAAACTTAGCACTACATTTACTTAGTGAATTTTACTTGGAGTGCCTCGCACACCAAGTGTTTGACAAATTTCTTGAATACAAACGTTTTGAGCTGTTTTTCAATCTGTGTTTATATTTCATAAGCATTGGAAATTGAACAACTTTGAGTGAACAAAATCATATTGATTTGTGTTCAAACTTTTGATTCGATTTCTTATCTTTATCGGTATTCCATATAGGAGTAGCATATATCCGATCTTTTTGGTAACGGTTCATTTAGATGATCGTAGTTCCTCAGCCGCTTCTGCTTAAAAGTTTTAAAACCCAATTTATTATAAGTGCCGACTATGTTTAAGGATAAGTGATATATTCAACCCCTCTTCTAGATCATCACCGTCGTCTAACAAGTGGTATCAAGAGCACCGGTTCATTCTGTGCTTCACATATAACTTCTTAGAATATGGAAAACAAACCAAAAGAGGCATATAACAATATCATGATCAAAACAACAACATGGTTTAGACATGGTGAACATGGATATAACAATATCATGGTCATAGAAATAATGTCAACATGTGAATCATGGAAAACAAAGGTTCAAATCAATATGTGAATCATAGATATAACAATATCATGGTCATAGAGACAAATATCAATATGTGAATCATAGATGAAAAGTTCAAGTGTGAACAAATAGAGTAAGCATGAACTAAGGTCAAGATTGTGACATGGTTTAGGGTTTACTAACACCACTTAATCATGAATACAAGTTAAGATATCATTTAAGAACAAGTTAGGCATGATTCAAGACATAAGGATAATAATCAAGGATACATGTCAAGGTTCATGTCAAAGGGTTCATTGTGATTACAACAAGTCTAAGTATTTCAAAAGGTTTTGAGTATAATGAACATGAAGTTTAAGAACCAAATAAAGTCATGGTATCAAAGTTAAGGCAAATCATGAACATATGATCAAAGATGATTCAAACACATAGTAAGCATGCACCAAAGGTTCAATATGGTATAAGTATCATGCTAAAGTCAAAGGGAATGTTTCATAATCAAACATGAAGAAACAAGACATGTACACATAAAAATCATGCATTAAAGTGCATCAAAGTTAGGAAAAAATTAAAGGGATTATGTTACCAACATCATACAAGGTTCACACAATATACATGACATTCACAAACATCAATATGATCAAGAAAAATTAAAGAATCAATAAAAAAAAGAATCACTTAATGACCTAAAACCATTTTAAAAAGTACCTTCTCTGATAAAATAAAAGTGTGTGAAAATGAAATCATTTTTGGAATTTTTTTCATGGATTATCAAAAATAGGTATAATAAATAATGGGTGTGTAAAAAATTAGTCCAAAATGATAAATAATTTGAGAGATATGATCAAATGAAAATGGAAAAAAACATGAAATGACAAGTGATAAAAAAATAAGGGAAATGGTCCACATGAGGTTTGAAGCCACGCCCCCTTGTCCTGCATCTTAAAACACTAGCCATTGGGCCATTTGTTTGGGTTTGTCATATAACACGCACATTAAATAAAATATTAAGTCAGAATGCAAAACATGAAAAAATAAAATAACACAAAAGGTCTGAGGCAAGGGGGATTCGAACCCCAGACCTCATGGACACCAAACCCTTACAAACACACTCATAACCGATGTGGCGCAATGCCCAAGTCATACATTAAATCTAAACAAAACCATAAATAATAAAATCACAATTAAAATGTAGAAATGGCGCCACCTTCATCATCTTCCTCCTCCACCATTTTTAAATTTCTCAAAATTGTATCTCACTCATATCTCAATGAATTTCAAAAATGTAAACACAAAACTTGCTTGGATTTTCATGAGGAACACAATGACACCAATCAATCAGATTAAATTTCATCATACAAGGAAAAATCAAATTGAAATCAGTATGAACCCTAAATGTTCAGAGAAGCACAACTTCACATACACACATGATACATTGCAATTGACTTAGGGCACACTATCTACACATTAAATACTACATATTTGCTTCAAAAATCAAATACCAATGATACGTGTATGAGTGAGTTCAAAGTTTAAAAAAGCTTACCTATTAGAGCAAGGTTCAATGCCTCTTCAAGTGATTACAGAAAGTGTGGGATGATTTAGAAAGCTTCTATGATCTCCCTTGATGCTTTTGGAATGCTTAGATTAATTTGGAACAACTTCAAACTTTCTGCACAATCCTTCTTGCAAAAATGAAAAAAGAAAACTTAAGCTCTAAGAAAATGATGTTACAGTTGCAAAATGATGTTAGGGACATTTCGTGGGATGTTTATGGAGGGTATTTGAAGGATTAAAGGGATTGGAAAAGGTCAGAATGAAGAATTGGATTGGTTTATGCAAAAAGGCAACAAACTAGGTGTTATGTGATGTGTGTGGATGATTGGTTTGAGGTTTTTATGGCTTTCAAATGTTTTGGACAAGTTTGTGGAAATGAAAGTTTGAAAATGGTGGAAATGGTATGATTTTGGTGAAGAAGTGTTTGTCAATGTTTTTGTGGTGTTTCTTGTGTGTTTTGGAGTGATGAATGACTATCTATTTATGGGGAAAAGTTTGAGGGACTGAGGTTATGCAGAATGGAAGCTTGGTGCAAAATGGCTTGGTCGGATTCCAAGTGATCGTTCCATTGATCATTGTGGTTCCAAGACATAGTACATGTCTTTCTAGAGTAGTTAGAAAGTTTAGAGGTGTTGCTTCTGTGTTTAAAAGAGTTTGTGTGCAGAAGAAACAAGGTATGAGCTCAAGACAATTTGACTTCTTGATTAAAGTCACTTTATGAAAATGGCAATGTAACCTTTCTTGCAAAACAATCTAAATATGACATTACAACTTGGTTAATGGCTTAAATTTTTGGTCAAGTCTTTGGTTAATTGCTCACGATGTGGTAACCTAGGAATTTTGATCCCCATTTTAGTTTTTCGGGGGAAGGATTCCTAGGGGTTTATGGAGTTTGGATAGGTAAAACTTTTTATTTTGTAAATGTTTTCTCAAACCTGTTTTATAAAAAAAATCATGAGGCTAGGTCTATGGAAATTAAAGGAGTCTTTTAGTCCAGGGAAGTAATGCATAAATGGGGATTTCAATTCAGTTAAAAACTCTAGTAAAATGAGAGGTAGAAGCTCTAGTGTTAAGCATGGATAAATGAAGTATTTTAATGAATTCGTTGATCTAATGGAAGTTACCTCAAGATTAGGAGACTACATGTTTGTCTGCCTGGTGGGGAGCATGTATAAAAACATTTAAAAAATTCATGCTCTAAGACTGAAGCAAGTGACAGGAAACCTAGTGTCTTACACCCAAACCATCTTTGTCCATAGAAGATAATCCCTAGATGGAGTGCTAGCTGTAAATGAACTAATAAATTTTGCAAAGAGAGATAAAAAGAGTTTTTTGTTTTTGAAAATGGATTTTGAAAAGGCATTTGACTATGTAAGTTGGCATTTCTTGAGATATATGTTTAGGAGACTAGGTTTTGGGCCAAGCGACTTAGGAGGATGGAAACCTACATTTTTTTCCAGTAGCATGCCAGTTCTAGTAAATGGAAGCCCTACAAAGGACTTCAAAGTGTGTATAATACTGAGACAAGGTGATCCACTTTCACCCTTTCTCTTTGCCATATTAGTTGAGGACCTTATAGTGATGTTGGAAAAACCAGTTACTATTGGAGCATTCAAAGGCTTTCATGTAAATTACCAAAGATCCTACATACTCATGCGTTTTGTTGATGGTACAATTCTATTAGGTGAAGGTTCTTGGCCAAACTTATGGACCATTAAGTCAATCCTTATAGGATTTGAAATGGCGTCTGGTCTAAGATTAAATCTCGGCAAAAGCAAACTTTATGGAATTGGACTAAATGATCAATTCTTTCTAGTATCAACTTTATTCCAATATTGTTGCATAGACAAGATTCCATTTAGATTTTTGGGTATTTTGTGCGATTTAGCCGTAAACGTTATGCAAGTTGGAGACCTATGGTAGAAGGCCTAAGGAGGAAACTTAATGCTTGGGGAGGATGGTTTTTATCCATAGGAGAAAAAGTAACCATTCTGAACTAAGTCATTAATAACCTTCCTTCTTACCAACTATCATTTTTAAAGCCCCTACCAAGATCATAAATGAAATACTGACCATCTAAAAATTATTTCTTTGGCATGGTTCAGAAGAGAAGAAAGGTATTTCATTGGTTAGTTAGAACAATGTTTGCAAAGTTAAGTGTGACGAAAGCCTAGGGGTCAGAGATGTGGCAACTTTCAACAAACCACTTCTTTAAAAATGGAAATAAAGGTTCATTAGTAATTAAGGGGTCATTTGGAAAGAATTGTTTGATCACAGACAGGTATGAAAACATCAACCTGATATTCTTGCTTGGAATTAAAGGTACTATTACAAAAAAAAAGGAATCAATTTGGTGGAAGTATTTGAAGTTTCTTGGGAGAGTATCTAGCACAGATGAAGGTTGGTTCTCAAGTTGCCTATCTTGTAAAATAGGTTTGGGTAGTGATATTCCTTTTTGGATTTCGAATTGGCAAGGTGTACAACCTCTATACTTGGCTTATCCTGAGTTATTTAACTTGTCCTTCTAACAATGTTCGAATGTGGCTGATATGGGGTCTTGGTATGAAGGAACACAGTCTTGGAAATTGTATCTAGATGAATAAGGTGAGAATAGACATTTTAAAGAGTTATGTGCAATTTTTATTACTTCTCTTAGATCATAGCCTAGTAGACATATGTAAGACAAATTTGTTTGGACTTTTAATTATGATGGTATGTTCTTTGTCAAGTCCAATTGTTGCAAGTTGGTAAGCTTGAAGAAGGTTGGTGCTATGGAGGTTGGTATCAAGGCAGTGCTACAAAAACTCTGGAAATCCAAATCACCACTAAAAATCAAAATCTTTGGATGGTGTCTAGTTCTGAATAGGGTCCATTCTCGTGACCATTACACAAAAGAGTCATTCAACAATGTATGCTTGATAAAGTGTGTATCTTGTGCTTTAACCATACAGAAAGCTCGACTCACCTATTATCCCAGTGTAATTTCTTTGTTGCGGTCTAACAAAGTATATTTGTCTGCCTAGATATTTCAGACATGGAAGAAAATCATTTTATTGAACACTTTTCATCATTTTCCTCTATCTTTAAGGGCAAAACAACAAAGCATATAGGAACTATGGTTTGGTTGGCTACCTGTTGGGGACCGTGGCTCAAGAGAAATGCAATCCTATTTAAAGGAGACATGAGAAGAGCATATGAATGAGTGGATAACATGAAACTCTTATCTTGCCTATGGCTTGCTATTGGGGTTAAATCTCATAGACATATAAATTATTATACTTGGCATAAATGCCCTTTAAAATGTCTTAAACAACGTTAAATTTAGTATCTTTATAATTATGGATAGGAGTACATCTTATACTCCTTAATATAATGACTTAAATGCAGTTTTGATTCTCCTAAATTATTTTTGATAACTTTTTAGCCTCCATTAGAAAAAATAGCTTTTTGGCCCCTTAGTGTCGAATTTCATGTTTTTTTTGCCCCCCATTCACATGTCAGACTCATTTGCAAATGTGACATTGCAACATATGAGTTGACATCTTTTTAATGTTGCCACACCATTAAAATCCAACAAATTTATTTATTTTTAAAATAAATCAATTTAAATAATTTTTTTTCATTTAAAATTAAAAAAAATATTAATAGAATGAAAGACATCGTCTTCTTTGTTTCTTCTTCCCCCACTTTTTGAAACCCTAATATTATTTTATGTCGTTAGAGATGGAATGGAGATTTAGGGTTCCTCTTTCTCGTAAGACAGAGGCTGAGAGGATGGAGTTGGACGGTAAAGAACCCAAAGTCACCCTGTTGGATCAAATACCTGTTTATTCTACTTCCATCAAAAGCCTTATTATTTGAATATGAAATTCTCTGCTCTGAATATTCTTCTCCCAAAGTTTCATTCTATGCTTGAAAATTTCAGAATCTAGCCACCACTTTTCTGCTCTGATGGCCGATGTAACTTCTTCCTTCTCTTTCTCAACACTCACTCAATCTTCTCAAAGGAAATTGACATTTTCTTCCACTCCCTTCCTTGGTTCATGTGCCAAGTTTACAAACGTCCAAAAGTCAAATTTTGATTGGATTTTAAATAAAAAATTAAATTTGTAAAATCTGAGTTACAATCCATAAGATACCTCCAAATTATTTAAAGAAAACAACAAACAATCTTCTAAGCTCAATTTTAACACATTTAATTTGATGTAAAAACCCTAACAAACTAATTTAATGTGTAGCACAAAATTGAGATTAATAAAGATATAAAAAAAAGTAGTTAGAGTATGTAATTGGAAGAAAAAGAAAGAAGAAGAGCGCACCACAGTCAGAATCAGATCAAGAAAAAAGCCCGATTTAGGGTGAAAGGAAGAAGACGTGGTTGAGAAATTGAAGGTGTTGAGAGAGGGAAAGAGTTGGTATTGAATGTGAAAGTCAAAATTAATATTTATTTTTTATTTTAAATAAAAAATATTTATTTAAATTAATTTCAGTTTTAAAACAAATAAATTTATTGAATTTAATGACGTGACAACATTAAAAAGATGTCAACTCAAACGTTCTAATATCTCATCTTAAAATGAATCTGACATGCAAAAATAAGAAGAAAAAAAACACATGAAATTGCATATTAGGGGACTAAAACTTTTTTTAATAGACTAAAATGTTATCAAAACCAATTTAAAAGATCAAAATTGTATTTAAACTTAATATAATTTTGCTTATAAAATAAGAGAAAAAAATATACGCCGACAATGTAAAATATTTTTACATTGTCAACCAATAACAGACGTGTATCCCACCACATCACACATTTATTTTTAAAATACTATTATGATTTGACACTTTAAAATAATCTAATTGGATGTCTATATAATATTTTTGTTCTGGACTGGACTGACAGGTGGCCCACAGTTGGGTAAGGCCCAATCCAGTCCAGCTTTAGATGAGGCCCAACAAGAAGATTAGCATAATCTAGCCGCTGGGCACAATATGCCCGTTGGGCACAATATAACCGTTATGGGAGAATATAGTTGTTGGGGACCTCCCCTCATGCGTTCCACAGTTCACGCGACCAACTGCCCCTCTAAAGTTCACGGGGACAGTTGGACCAGGTTGAAGATCACACGCTAAATCTTCCTTGCTCATCGCAAACCTAGCAGTCTCTCATTGGTGGACCAGATCTCCTGGCCCACAATAAGGGCCTTAGCCTCGCGCTGGGGGTTTCTTATAAATACCCTCTTATTTGAGAGGATTAAGTAACCAATTCATTCTAACACAAACCTAAACACTTTTTACTTGCTCTCTCTCTCTCTCTCTCTCTCTCTCTCTCTCTCTCTCTCTCTCTCTCTCTCTCTCTCTCTCTCTCTCTCTCTCCCTCCGATTCTTACTTTAGCATCAAAGTGCCTTGCAGGTACACCTCCTCCTATCCTACAACCATCATTGATGCCCTACGTTGAAGGCCATGAGGATCCAGTCTGATCATACCAGATCAGTGGTGCCGTCTATGGGAACTATGCTCCACCGTCTTTCTTGAACCAAGATTTCTAATGTTTTCAATCCAAATACCAAAGCTTTTCTTTCTAAACCTTTCTCGATCGTCATGGCCTCTCACCATAACAATGATATCCTACAAGATTCTGTCATCGTTGTCGCCTTGGATAACAGTGATAACCACAATCCTAGAGTTGTGGTCTACGAGACCGATCACAGGGATGGAAAGACTACCTCTCCATCCTCCGACAACGTGAAACCCCATATCCAGAATTCTGATCACATCTATGAACCCACCCTCATTCTTCAAGACGCTAATCCCAGCACTGTGGCTCTCATTGCTGCCCTCAACAAATCCAACTACATGATTTTCCAACAGGGCAAGAAGATCCATATGTTGGAAAACGTCCTTCAAGAATGACCTCCCCCGCAGAGACCTCACAGTCCTTCTCCCTGTTCTCATTCTCCTCATCAAAAACATCGACGAAGCAAGTCTCGAAGCATTTATCCAATCAAAAAACGATTAAAATTAGAGAAACCAGGGCAAGAAATCACGAAGAAACGACATTGTACCTCTCATCGAAGGACAAGACATTCTCCAGCTCCCAATACTAGGGCTTCAAAGAAACCTCGTGAACGTCCAAATTGGTGTAAACATTCTCCTCGACATGGTAGAAGCCCTCGTCATAGTCGTTTCCCATATAAATCATCGAGCACCAGTGATGAAGACGATGTGCATGGGCCTCTATCCCAGGAAATCATTGACACCCTTATCCCTCGCGGGCTGGAGAAGCCTCCTTCTCTGCCTCTCTATGATGGCACTATGGATCCCGGCGACCATATAGAGAACATTGAAGCCATGCTTCATTATCACAATGTAGGCAGAGCAATAAAGTGCGGATTGTTCCCCATCACCCTTAGAAAGAGAGCTATGACCTGGTAAAAAAATCTTACCCGAGGCTCGATCACATCGTGGAGGAACCTTAAAAATCAATTTGACCGACATTTCACTGCCTCCAAGTGTCATCCCAAGTCGGAAGCCATGCTCGAAGGTATAATTTAGGCCAAGGATGAGCCCGTTCGTCCTTACATTAAGAGGTTTAACAAGGAAGCATTCAAGATCTACACGACCGACCACATGAAGAAGTACCTCCTCAAAAAGGGGCTAAGGCCAAATAGTGATTTCCACAAAGCAGTGGGGATCGAAATGCCTTATTCTCTAGCCGAACTCTTTCATAAGGCCCAAGCTTACATCCAATATGAGGAAAAAGAAGCTGCTTATAAAGGCCGAGATTCGAGGAATCAAGACAATTCCAAGGCGCCAAAAAAGGATGAGGCAGAAGCTCCTCGACACAACAAATAAAAACGACGAGACGACCTTCCCCGTGAACATAAAGGACCTGTTGGTCAGTTTACTGAGTATACCTTGCTAA